CAATTCCCCCCCAGCACAAAACCTTCCCACTTCTAGCACAAATCCCCCCCTCCCATCAAAAATCCTCCTCCCTACTTAAACGAATCCTTTACCAGCACAAATTACCGCCCCCCCATCACTCCTCCCAACATAAATCTTCCAGCACAACATTTTCCACCCCCTCCCAGCAAAGTACTACTTCCCCTATTGCAATGATGAGACTTATATTATCCCACTGACACCATCAATGTTACTTAAGTATTCATAAAAGGAATTTTGAAATTCAAACACATATTTTTTTGTATCAGCAAATAATGCAAGAGACCTAAAAATAACCAAATAAGAAAAAAAAAAATTTTCTGAAAGATCTTTAGTGCTGGAGACCTTTTGCTCTAAATTTGTGTAAAAAAAAAGTATATTTCAATATTGTTTTGATATTTTTTTTTCAAAATAATATTGTATCTTAACCAACCAACATGTTTTTTTTCTTCATTATTTATTTATTTTTCCATTGTTTGACTTTTTTTTTTATTCGGATGTGATATCAAGAAGCGAAACTGCAGAGCAAACCAAGCAGCAGCTATCAAAGTGTTTAAAAGCACGGGCTGCAGTTTGTATTTTCTCCACAAGGTGATGATCTCACTGCTGATGAAATGCAAAGAGGGCAGATATAGAAGGTGAAGACAGGAAGTGACGTCATCAACAGACAGGAAGTGGCGCCATCTACAGACAGGAAGTTACTGGAGAGAGGAAAGTGTGCAGGAAGTAGAGAAAGATATTCCTGCAACTGGCAGCAGAGGAGGTAATAAAAAATGTTTTACATTTACATCCAGTAACCCCCCCCGTCATGTCCGTCCTCTTCCTCCATCATGGCTATCCTCTTCCTTCATCATCATGTCGTCCTCTTCCTCCATTGTCATGGCTGTCCTCTTCCTCCATCGTCATGTCTATCCTCTTCCTCCATTGTCATGGCCGTCCTCTTCCTCCATCGTCATGGCCGTCCTCTTCCTCCATTGTCATTTCCGTCCTCTTCCTCCATTGTCATGTCTGTCCTCTTCTTCCATCGTCATGTCCATCCTCTTCCTTCATCGTCATGTCCATCCTCTTCCTCCACAGTCACCGTGATGTCCTTTAAATTCAGAAGATACGTCTACACCAAGATAATATGTACACAGATATGACTGAGACGATATTGGACCTCACCTGGAGATCATCTACCTGCTGACTGGAGAGGTGAGGAGGATTCTGGGAGGTCACATACATCACTCTTATCTCTATTAATAAAACACAGACCTGACTGGAGAGGTGAGGAGGATTCTGGGAGGTCACATGACATCACTCTTATCTCTATTAATAAAACACAGACCTGACCGGAGAGGTGAGGAGGATTCTGGGAGGTCACATGACATCACTCTCATCTCTATTAATAAAACACAGACCTGACCGGAGAGGTGAGGAGGATTCTGGGAGGTCACATGACATCACTCTCATCTCTATTAATAAAACACAGACCTGACCGGAGAGGTGAGGAGGATTCTGGGAGGTCACATGACATCACTCCTATCTCTATTAATAAAACACAGACCTGACCGGAGAGGTGAGGAGGATTCTGGGAGGTCACATGACATCGCTCCTATCTCTATTAATAAAACACAGACCTGACCAGAGAGGTGAGGAGGATTCTGGGAGGTCACATGACATCACTCTTATCTCTATTAATAAAACACAGACCTGACTGGAGAGGTGAGGAGGATTCTGGGAAGTCTGTGGTGATAATTGTTACTTCCTCCCTATACACAGGATTATAAAGTAGTGAAGAAAATATCTGGCGAGCCTTTATCATCCAGCAGCCGTCTTCACAGGACATCACCCATCACAGGGCCTCCACCTCACTGCCTGACAACAGAGGGAACCAGTGCCAAGAAGATTCTAGAAGTCACCCAGAAGATCATTGATCTGCTGACAGGAGAGGTGAGCGGTGCCGGGAATTCTGGGACATTCTCCAGTAACAGACAAGGGATGTGTCTGGATGGTGACTGTATCATTGTGTGTGTCAGGTTCCTATAAGGTGTCAGGATGTCACTGTCTATTTCTCCATGGAGGAGTGGGAGTATTTAGAAGGACACAAGGACCTCTACAAGGACGTCATGATGGACAATCAGCCGCCCCTCACATCACCGGGTAAGAGGAGACTTTATTGGTAAAGGAGAGAGCAGTACGGAGGGTCCACCTAGATCCCCCATCATCTGATAAACACATAGAAACAATGGATTCAGTCAGTGTGTGTGTTTCCTACAGATGGATCCAGTCATGGGAACCCACCAGAGAGATGTCCCCATCCTCTGTATTCCCGGGATTCCACACAGGAAGGTCACACCATCTCTCACCATCATCAGGTAGGTGGGAAGAACAGAAAAGTGGCTCTAGACTTTATGAGATTATATTCTTCTCCTAGCCTATTGGTCCTCACACTTTAAAATCTTCTTTCTTTTTGGTGGTTTAGCATGAAGAACTGACGTATGTGAAAGTTGAGGTTAAAAAGGAAGAGGTGATGAGTGTGATGGGTTATCAGGAGTCTACGGAGGAAGTTGGGAAGATCGTGACAAATAAAGAAGAGGAACGTTCTCCAGATATCAGCACAGGTGAGTAATGAACACTAAATACAGAAACTGATCAAATATATAGGGTAACAAATGAGGAGAAACTGGACACCATATGGAAGGTCCATCTCCGTTCCTCAATATAACGTCATGTTCCCAACAAATGAGGAGGAGATACTGGACACCATATGAAAGGTCCATCTCCATTCCTCAATATAACGTCATGTTCCAACACAAATGGAGGAGATACTGGACACCATATGAAAGGTCCATCTCCATTCCTCAATATAACGTCATGTTCCCAACAAATGAGGAGATACTGGACACCATATGAAAGGTCCATCTCCATTCCTCAATATAACGTCATGTTTCCAACAAATGAGGAGGAGATACTGGACACCATATGAAAGGTCCATCTCCGTTCCTCAATATAACGTCATGTTCCCAACAATGAGATACTGGACACCATATGAAAGGTCCATCTCCATTCCTCAATATAACGTCATGTTCCCAACAAAAATGAGGAGGAGATACTGGACACCATATGAAAGGTCCATCTCCATTCCTCAATATAACGTCATGTCCCCAACAAATGAGGAGATACTGGACACCATATGAAAGGTCCATCTCCATTCCTCAATATAACGTCATGTTCCCAACAAATGAGGAGGAGATACTGGACACCATATGAAAGGTCCATCTCCGTTCCTCAATATAACGTCATGTTCCCAACAAACAAATGAGATACTGGACACCATGAAAGGTCCATCTCTGTTCCTCAATATAACGTCATGTTCCCAACAAATGAGGAGATACTGGACACCATATGAAAGGTCCATCTCCGTTCCTCAATATAACGTCATGTTCCCAACAAATGAGGAGGAGATACTGGACACCATATGAAAGGTCCATCTCCATTCCTCAATAGAATGTCATGTTCCCAACAAATGAGGAGATACTGGACACCATATGGAAGGTCCATCTCCTGTTCCTCAATATAACGTCATGTTCCCAACAAATGAGGAGGAGATACTGGACACATATGAAAGGTCCATTTCCATTCCTCAATATAACGTCATGTTCCCAACAAATGAGGAGGAGATACTGTACACCATATGAAAGGTCCATCTCCATTCCTCAATATAATGTCACGTTCCCAACAAATGAGGAGATACTGGACACCATATGGAAGGTCAATCTCCCTTCTGTATGTCGTCATGTCTCTAGGTAACGAGGTGGAGGAAGGTCCATCTCCCAGTAACAAGTCATCAGTACAATGTTGCCCCGTGTGGTTTGAGGACATTATGTCCGTTTTCTGGTTCATATCTTGGTCTTCTGATTGCACCCAATTGCATGACAAACCTCAACCATCATAGACCAACATATATGACTCCTGAATGGAAGGTTTCAAAAATTCCTATAACATTGACTGTAAAATTGTTTTTCAGCAGATGGCCATAACGTCCGGAATATGTCTGAGGAACCACATTCCAGGACTCTGAGATCTCACAGTACAGATCCTCCACCAGATCCATCTATTCCCGAGGAATCTTCTTCAGGGCATGAAGGAGTTCACACAGAAGAGAGTTCATTCCCATGTTCAGTCTGTGGGAAATCTTTCAGAGAAAACAGAGCACTTCTTAGGCACGAGAAAAGTCACACTGGTGATGGTCCCTATTCATGTTCAGAGTGTGGGAAATGTTTCACTGAAAAAAGAAGTCTAATTAGACACCAGATATGTCACACAGATGACCGTCCATATTCATGTTCGGTGTGCGGGAAATGTTTCATCCGGAAAGCAAACCTTATTAAACATCAGATCATCCACACAGGCGAGCGTCCATATTCATGTTCAGAGTGTGGGAAAAGTTTTGTTCGGAAAGAAAGCCTCTTTAATCATCAGAGAATTCATACAGGTGACCGTCCCTATGCATGTTCAGAGTGTGGGAAATGTTTTATTCAGAAAGGACACCTTGTTAAACATCAGAAAATTCACACGGGCGAGCGCCCTTATTTGTGTTCAGAGTGTGGAAAATGTTTCATTCAGAAAGAAAGCCTACTTAAACATCAGATAATTCACACAGGTGATAGTCCCTATTCATGTTCAGAGTGCGGGAAATGCTTCACTGTGAAAAGAAGTCTTTTTAGGCACCAGATATGTCACACAGGCGAGCGTCCATATCCATGTTCAGAGTGTGGGAAATGTTTCACTCAGAAAGGTGACCTTCTTAAACACCAGAATGTTTCACACGGGTGAACGTCCCTTTTCATGTTCAGAGTGCGGGAAATGTTTTACTGCGAAAAGAAAACTTCTTATACACCAAAGAAGTCACACCGGTGACCATCCTTTTTCATGTTCAGAGTGCAGGAAATCTTTCACTGAGAAAAAAAATCTTATTAGACACCTGAGATGTCACACAGGTGAGCGTCCCTATTCATGTTCAGAGTGCGGGAAATGTTTCACTCAGGACGGATGTCTTCTCAAACATCAAAGAATTCATACAGGTGAGCGTCCCTATTCATGTTCAATATGCGGGAAATGTTTTATTCAGAAAGCAAGCCTTGTTATACATCAGAGAATTCACACAGGCGAGCGCCCTTATTCATGTTCAGAGTGCGGGAAATCTTTTGCTCATAAAAGAGACCTTCTTAGACACCAGAGAACTCACACGGGTGAGCGACCCTATGTATGTTCATAATGTGGGAAATTCTTCGCCCAGAAAGAAAGACGTCTGAGATACCAGAGAAAGCACACGGGTGAACATCCTTGCTATGTTCAGAGTGTGGGAAAAGCTTCATTCAGAAAGATAAACTTGTTGCACATCAGAAGAATCACATGAGTGTGCTTCCTTATTTGTGTTCAGAGTGTGGGAAAATGCCTCTTGCCTGGCTGTGCAGGGCTATAGGGGGACCCAAAACTCAGCGGTTCCAGGAAGGTGGTTTAACATGGCGGTCTTCTAACGGTTAACAAAAAATTTAAACGGAGTTAGAACCTAAATCAAATCTTATATAACTGAAGGAAATACACTATAAAATGTATCCATTATCGGTTGGACCAATGACAAGCCGGCTTCTTCGGTACAACATAAAAAAAAGACCAATAATGTACACAGGCCGATATCAACCAATAAAAAGTGTTGTCTGTGTGTGGTCATATCTGGCAACAGGCAACAGTCCTTGAGCTTGTTTTTTTTCTGGTTTTATTAAGGGGTGTTAAACTTGGATGGGGTTGAGGGGTGCGTGGGAGGACCAAGGGATGAGGGGTGTGTGGGAGGCACAATGGATGAAGGGTGCGTGGGAGGCGCAATGGATGAAGGGTGCGTGGGAGGACCAAAGAGATGAGGGGTGCGTGGAGGACCAAGAGATGAGGGGTGCATGGGAGGCGCAATGGATGAGGGGTGCGTGGGAGGACCAAAGGGATGCAGGGTGCGTGGGAGGTCCCAGGGATGAGGGGTGCGTGGGAGGCCCCAGGGATGAGGGGTGCGTGGGAGGACCGAGGGGTGCGTGGGAGGTCCCAGGGATGAGGGGTGCGTGGGAGGACCAAGGGATGAAGGGTGCGTGGGAGGACCAAAGGATGAGGGGTGCGTGGGAGGTCCCAGGGATGAGGGGTGCGTAGGAGGACCAAAGGCTGAGGGGTGCGTGGGAGGACCAAAGAATGAGGGGTGCATGGGAGGTCCCAGGGATGAGGCGTGCATGGGAGGTTCAAGGGAACTGCAACTTCCATTCTATGCACGAAGGTAAAAAAAACCTGTGTGCAGTATCCCCCCTCATCTCCCCTAATACTCACCTAAGCTCCCCTCTCGATCCAGGGATGTGCACTGGAGTCTCGGCTATCCCGGGACTCCCTCTCATTGGCAGAGACAGAAACAGGAGCCGTTGGCTCCCACTGCTGTGCATCACACTGGTGAGGGTGCCTATTCATGTTCAGAGTGCGGGAAATGTTTCACTGAAAAAAAGAAGTCTAATTAGACACCAAATATGTCACACAGATGAGCGTCTATATTCATGTTCAGTGTGTGGGAAATGTTTCATCCGGAAAGCAAACCTTTATTTCAGGAACTTATATAGTGCTGTCAATTTCTGCAGCGCTTTACATATATATATATATATATTGTACAATCACATCAGTCCCTGCCCCCTTGAGGGGCGTACAATCTAAGGTCCCTAACTCACATTCATACATACACATACTAGGGCCAATTTAGACAGGAGCCAATTAACCTACCAGTATGTCTTTGGAGGGTGGGAGGAAACCGGAGTACCCGGAGGAAACCTAAGCAGGCACAGGGAGAACATGCAAACTTCAGGCAGGTGGTGCCGTGGTTGGGAAACCTTATTAAACATCAGATAATCCACAAAGGTGAGTGTCCATATTCATGTTCAGAGTGTGGGAAAAGTTTTGTTCGGATAGAAAGCCTCCTTAATCATCAGACAATTCATACAGGTGATTGTCCGTAGGCATGTTCAGAGTGTGGGAAATGTTTTATTCAGAAAGGACACCTTGTTAAACATCGGAAAATGCACACAGGTGAGAGACAGAAACAGGAGCCATTGGCTCCCACTGCTGTCAATCAGGCGATGAGAAGAGAAAGTGGGTGGGGCTGAGCCACTGCTCCATGTGTGAATGGATAGAATCACTTTTAAGGGCTGCCCTGGCCCAATGCCAAGCCTCCTGCTTGGGGATTGGCAAGAGTCCCTTAAGTGTGCAGATCAGCCCCTACCCACTGCCTTCTAGAAACCTCTCAAGCTTCTAGAGCAGGGGAGCTACTAAAAACCTAGCTAGCTCCCCCTGGCTAACAAGAGGGGCACTACATGTGAAATGTTCTGACGGCCTGTCTAAATTCTTGAGGCCCTGTAATGCCAGGGCAGTACCTACACCCTCCAAAATTACCCCTTTTTGGAAAGTCGACAGTCCAAGGTACAGTCAGGTCCATAAATATTGGGACATCGCCACAATTCTAACATTTTTGGCTCTATACACCACCACAATGGATTTGAAATGAAACGAACAAGATGTGCTTTAACTGCAGACTGTCAGCTTTAATTTGAGGGTATTTACATCCAAATCAGGTGAACGGTGTAGGAATTGCAACAGTTTGCATATGTGCCTCCCACTTGTTAAGGGACCAAAAGTAATGGGACATTTGGCTTCTCAGCTGTTCCATGGCCAGGTGTGTGTTATTCCCTCATCCCAATTACAATGAGCAGCTAAAAGGTCCAGAGTTAATTTCAAGTGTGCTATTTGCATTTGGAATCTGTTGCTGTCAACTCTCAAGATGAGATCCAAAGAGCTGTCACTATCAGTGAAGCAAGCCATCATTAGGCTGAAAAAAAAAAAACAAAACAAACCCATCAGAGAGATAGCAAAAACATTAGGCGTGGCCAAAACAACTGTTTGGAACATTCTTAAAAAGAAGGAACGCATCAGTGAGCTCAGCAACACCAAAAGACCCGGAAGACCACGGAAAACAACTGTGGTGGATGACCGAAGAATTCTTTCCCTGGTGAAGAAAACACCCTTCACAACAGTTGGCCAGATCAAGAACACTCTCCAGGAGGTAGGTGTATGTGTGTCAAAGTCAACAATCAAGAGAAGACTTCACCAGAGTGAATACAGAGGGTTCACCACAAGATGTAAACCATTGGTGAGCCTCAAAAACAGGAAGTCCAGATTAGAGTTTGCCAAATGACATCTAAAAAAGCCTTCACAGTTCTGGAACAACATCCTATGGACAGATGAGACCGAGATCAACTTGTACCAGAGTGATGGGAAGAGAAGAGTATGGAGAAGGAAAGGAACTGCTCATGATCCTAAGTATACCACCTCATCAGTGAAGCATGGTGGTGGTAGTGTCATGGCGTGGGCATGTATGGCTGCCAATGGAACTAGTTCTCTTGTATTTATTGATGATGTGACTGCTGACAAAAGCAGCAGGATGAATTGTGAAGTGTTTCGGGCAATATTATCTGCTCATATTCAGCCAAATGCTTCAGAACTCATTGGAAGCCGCTTCACAGTGCAGATGGACAATGACCCAAAGCATACTGCAAAAGCAACCAAAGAGTTTTTTAAGGGAAAGAAGTGGAATGTTCTGCAATGGCCAAGTCAATTACCTGACCTGAATCCGATTGAGCATGCATTTCACTTGCTGAAGACAAAACTGAAGGGAAAATGCCCCAAGAACAAGCAGGAACTGAAGACAGTTGCAGTAGAGGCCTGGCAGAGCATCACCAGGGATGAAACCCAGCGTATGGTGATGTCTATGCGTTCCAGACTTCAGGCTGTAATTGACTGCAAAGGATTTGCAACCAAATATTAAAAAGTGAAAGTTTGATTTATGGTTATTATTCTGTCCCATTACTTTTGGTCCCTTAACAAGTGGGAGGCACATATGCAAACTGTTGTAATTCCTACACCGTTCACCTGATTTGGATGTAAATACCCTCAAATTAAAGCTGACAGTCTGCAGTTAAAGCACATCTTGTTCGTTTCATTTCAAATCCATTGTGGTGGTGTATAGAGCCAAAAATGTTAGAATAGTTTCGATGTCCCAATATTTATGGACCTGACTGTATTTAGCAAGAGGCACGGTGAGTTTTTTTTGGAGTCGTACATTTTCATCAGCATCTGTTTATGGAAAATGGAGAAGGTAAATTAAATTTGATTTTATTTCAGAAAGTTTTTAAAGGGTAACTCCACCTTTATGGGAAAAAAAACAGCAAAAAAAAAATAATACAGTATATAAAATTGTGACATAAGTCATATTGTAATTCAATGTTGTAAAAGAAAATTACCTTTTTCCTTTTCAATCTGCGGCTGCTGTAGTTTTCTATAAAATGCAACGTGGCGACCTGGAGGTGTTCTGTACACAGAACGAGCACAGAACGCCCCCCAGCAACATCATTTCCTGCTTGTGTGATTGGCTCACTGGTTTTCCCAGAAGTCTGCACTGAGATACAAGACAGATTTCGGGCATCCCCTGCAACAAAAAATTAAATTTTTGGTGAGATACTCCCAATAGGAAATCCCATCTAAAAGGATGCAGACCCTGCCACTTTCCTCATTAGAACCCTGCAGGTGCGGCGGCTTACTGATAATTAAGAATTCACTTTTCATATAGGCACAGACGAACAGCTATGTGTGAGACCTTTTTGCAGCCAAGATGCATTGAGGGTCCCCAAATCCAAAGAGCACCTTCGTTCTTTCAAGGGGCTTCATTTAATGGCTACCTATCACATTTTTGGAGGCCCTGGAGCACCAGGACAATAATACACATAAAATGACCACATTTTTCACATGGGCACAGACAAACAGCTGTTACTTCAGAGTGCCAAAAGGTAGGAATCTGCAACAAAGTTTGGTAAAATCCCTTTAATGTACACAGATCACCAGGAGAATGTTTGTTTTTTTCTCAACAAAAATGGAGTTACTCTTTAGAATATTTCTCACACACAGTATGGGCATGCTTACAATTGCAACCCAAAAAAACATTTTTCAAGTATAGGGATGGCACATGTGTGAGAACTTTTTGCAGCCAATATGCATCGAGGGGCCCCAAATCCAAAGAGTACCTTCATTCTTTCAAGGGCTTAATTGTATGGCTACCTATCACATTTTTGGAGGCCCTGGAGCACCGGGACAATAAAAGCACACATAAAATTAGGACATTTTTCACATGGGCACAGACAAACAGCTGTTACTTCAGAGTGGCGAAAGGTAGGAATCTGCAACAAAATTTGGTAAAATCCCTGCAATGTACACGGGTCACCCAGAGGGGAATGTTTTTTCCCAACAAAAACGGAGTTACTCTTTAAGTGATTTCTCACACACAGTATGGGCATACTTGCAATTGCACCCAAAAGACATTTTTCAAGTATAGGGATAGCACATGTGTGAGACCTTTTTGCAGCCAAGATGCATCGAGAGGCCCCAAATCCAAAGAGCACCTTCGTTCTTTCAAGGGGCTTCATTTTATGGCTACCTATCACATTTTTGTCCAGGATAGTAAACTAGCAGACAAAGGATCGGTCCAGGCGGCAGGCAGAGACATAGTAAACTAACAGGCAAAGGATCAGTCCATGCGGCAGGCAGAGACATAGTAAGCAAACAGGCAAAGGATTGGTCCAGGCGGCAAACAGAGACATAATAAGCAAGCAATCAAAGGATCAGTCCAGGTGGCAGGCAGAGACATGGTAAGCAAGCAGGCAAAGGATCGGTCCAGGCGGCAGGCAGAGACATAGTAAGCAAGCAGGCAAAGGATCGATCCAGGCAGCAGGCAGAAACTTGATCAATAACCAGGCCGTGGTCAGTACAGGCAGCAGACGTGTGCTTAGCAAGCAAGCAAAGGATCAGTACAGGCAGCAGGCTGAGGTGGCACTGCACTGGCGTGATGGTGACCAGGAAAACTGCTGCTGGCCTCACTGGTACTGGTGGCAATGGCACTGGTGTGGTGATCAGGAGCACTTTTGCTGGCTGCACTGACTCTGGTGACACTGCTAGTGTGGTGGCAATTAGGAACACTGCTGCTTGCTGCACTGACTCGGTGACATGGGTACTAGGGCAGCTAGTGATCAGCAACACTGGTCTGGCTGTACTGGAACTGATGTGGCAGCAATCATGAACACTGTTGCTGGCTTACACTGAGTCTAGTAAGAGGGACTGGTGTGGCGGTGATCAGGAACACTGTTGATGGTACATTCTCTGACAATTCTCCTCCCACCATCCACACTACATTCTCTGACAGCTCTCCTCCACCACCATCCACACTACATTCTCTGACAGCTCTCCTCCTCCCACCATCCACACTACATTCTCCGACAGCTCTCCTCCCCCACCATCCACACTACATTCTCTGACAGCTCTCCTCCTCCACCATCCACACTACATTCTCTGACAGCTTTCCTCCACCATCCACACTACATCCTCTGACAGCTCTCCTCCACCATCCACACTACATTCTCTGACAGCTCTCCTCCACCATCCACACTACATTCTCTGACAGCTCTCCTCCACCCCCATCCACACTACATTCTCTGACAGCTCTCCTCCTCCCACCATCCACACTACATTCTCTGACAGCTCTCCTCTCCACCATCCACACTACATTCTCTGACAGCTCTCCTCCCACCATCCACACTACATTCTCTGACAGCTCTCCTCCCACCATCCACACTACATTCTCCGACAGCTCTCCTCCCACCATCCACACTACATTCTCTGACAGCTCTCCTCCCCCACCATCTGACACACTACATTCTCTGACAGCTTTCCTCCACCATCCACACTAAATTCTCTGACAGCTCTCCTCCACCACCATCCACACACATACCATTCTCTGACAGCTCTCCTACATTCTCTGACAGCTCTCCTCCATCCCCATCCACACTACATTCTCTGACAGCTCTCCTCTCCTCCCACCATCTCTGACACACTACATTCTCTGACAGCCTCCTCCACCATCCACACTACATTCTCTGACAGCTCTCCTCCCACCATCGACACTACATTCTCTGACAGCTCTCCTCCCACCACCATCCACACTACATTCTCTGACAGCTCTCCTCCCACCATCGACACTACATTCTCTGACAGCTCTCCTCCCACCATCCACACTACATTCACACTACATTCTCTGACAGCTCTCCTCCCTCCACCATCCACACTACATTCTCCGACAGCTCTCCTCCACCATCCACACTACATTCTCCGACAGTTCTCCTCCCACCATCCACACTACATTCTCTGACAGCTCTCCTCCACCATCCACACTACATTCTCTGGCAGCTCTCCTCCACCATCCACACTACATTCTCTGACAGTTCTCCTCCACCATCCACACTACATTCTCTGACAGTTCTCCTCCACCATCCACACTACATTCTCTGACAGCTCTCTCCCCCCCACCATCCACACTACATTCTCTGACAGCTCTCCTCCTCTCCATCCACACTACATTCTCTGACAGCTCTCCTCCTCCACCATCCACACTACTTTATCTGACAGCTCTCCTCCACCATCCACACTACATTCTCTGACAGTTTTTCCACCATCCACACTACATTCTCTGACAGTTCTCCTCCACCATCCACACTACATTCTCCGACAGCTCTCCTCCCCCACCATCCACACTACATTCTCTGACAGCTCTCCTCCCCCATCCACACTACATTCTCTGACAGCACTCCTCCCACCATCCACACTACATTCTCCGACAGCTCTCCTCCCCCACCATCTATACTACATTCTCAGACAGCTCTCCTCCCACCATCCACACTACATACATTCTCTGACAGCTCTCCTCCCACCATCCACAATACATTCTCTGACAGCTCTCCTCCCATCATCCACACCACATTCTCTGACAGCTTTCTGCCATCCACACTACATTCTTTGACAGCTCTCTCCCCCCCCCCACCATCCACACTACATTCTCCTACAGCTCTCCTCCCCCCACACCAACCACACTACATTCTCTGACAGCTCTCCTCCACCATCCACCATCATCATCATCACACACTACATTCTCTGACACACTGACAGCTCCCCCCACCATCCACACTACATTCTCTGACAGCTCTCCTCCCCCACCATGCAACCTACATTCTCCGACTGACCCCCAATCCAAGTGATATTTTTCCACACTGATAAGTAATACAAGGGGGATTCTTCACTAATCCCTAATATAAGGTGATGTTCTGTCTACTGACCATGAATTCTGGGGACATCCCTACCTGTGATTACTATTATAAGTGGACATTCTTTCCACTGACCAATGTAGGGCAACATTTTTTTATCTACTGATCACCAATGAAAGGGACATTCTTCACGCTTCAATGTACGGAGATACATATAAAATATATTCATGGCCAATCTCCAATGTATGTGGCTCCCTCCTCTGCTTACCACTGATAGGGGAATACATCGATGACATATTCTGTGATCCGCTGATGGGTATGACTTTCCTATGAAGATGACCACAGTGACCATAAGGAGGAGAACAAAGATGGCAGCTATAGGAATCTTCTATAAGGAGCTCGTAGTTGGCTGACACAAGTCTGGAACTGGACCTTCTGCACTCCCCATATCACCAATACCCAATCCATGGATGATTCCAATATATTCCAATCACCGATCGTGCAAAAATATTCATTTGGAGAAAAAGAAACTCAGAACAGAATATTGTAAATGTAGAGGGTTTTATTTTATTTTTATTTGGTTTATTTTTAAAAAACAGAATATGCGATGACTACACAATAAAAGAATGTAAAATAAATGCTGCACAGCTCAACTAAAAGAAAAATCAAATGTAATAGTAATGACACATGGGCGGGTCCAATGGAAAGCTGGCTTTTTTGGTGAAACACAAAAATAAAAATTCCATACATCAGCAATGTATTAGCACAGATACACCAGCTATGGAGTATCATTCCTCCCACTGACACCAATGATGGGACCCTATTCCTCCCACTGACACCAATGATGGGCCACTATTCCTCCCACTGATACCAATGATGGGACACTATTCCTCCCACTGATACCAATGATGGGGCACTATTCCTCCCACTGACACCAATGATGGGGCACTATTCCTCCCACTGACACCAATGATGGGACCCTATTCCTCCCACTGACACCAATGATGGGCCACTATTCCTTCCACTGATACCAATGATGGGACACTATTCCTCCCACTGATACCAATGATGGGGCACTATTCCTCCCACTGATACCAATGATGGGGCACTATTCCTCCCACTGACACCAATGATGGGGCACTATTCCTCCCACTGACACCAATGATGGGGCACTATTCCTCCCACTGACACCAATGATGGGGCACTATTCCTCCACTGACACCAATGATGGGGCACTATTCCTCCCACTGACACCAATGATGGGGCACTATTCCTCCCATTGACACCAATGATGGGGCAATGTTACCGACACCAGGACATTTTGTACTCCCATTGCCCACAGTCCAGACCCTCTAAAATCCGAAGGATAGTAAACTGGCCCTGTAGAAAGTTTGGAGTCGTCTGGTTCAGAGGATCACATCACTATACTTCCTATAGGCCTATAACTATGACACCCAAAAAAGTTAAATTTTTTTCCCCACTCCTAAATGTGTAAATTTCAACATAAAATAGAATAAAGAAATATTTTTTTGGGGCGCAGTAAGTGATTTTTCTGCCACCAGAACATTTGTCACGTTACATATATGAAAGGACATACAAGCCGTCCTGTGGTGGTGACACCTGTACCACTCCCCATATGTCCGTCTGAACATAGAGGTCATGGGTTCTCTGGTGTCCATCGAGCGAACGTTTTTCCCCATACGATTTTCCACACACCGAACACGAATAAGGACGCTCACCTGTGTGAGTTCTCTGGTGAGCACGAAGCACTCCTCTCCGAATGAAAGATTTCCCGCACTCCAAACACGAAAAGGGACGCTCACCCGTGTGAATCTTTTGGTGTCTAAGAAGGCATCCTTTTTGTCTGAAACCTTTCCCGCACTCTGTACAAGAAAAAGGGCGCTCGCCCGTGTGAATTCTCTGGTGTACAAGTAACTGTTGTTTCTCGGTAAAACATTTCCCGCACTCTGGACATAAATGAGAACGCTCGCCCGTGTGAATTTTGTGGTGTTCAAGAAGGGTTCTTCTTTCGCTGAAACATTTCCCACATTCTGAACACGAGTAAGGACGCTCACCCGTGTGAGTTCTCTGGTGTTTACGAAGTTCTTGTGGCTGAATGAAACACTTCCCGCATTCCGAACATGAATAAGGTTTGTCACCTGTGTGAATTTTCTGGTGTCTAGAAAGTTTTCCTTTCTCGGCAAAACATTTCCCGCACTCTGAACATGAATAAGGACGCTCCCCCGTGTGAATTCTTAGGTGCGCAGTAAGGCTTCCTTTCTCAGTGAAACATTTCCCGCACTCCGGACATGAATAGGGATGCTTATCTGCATGAATTATTCGATGTTTGTGAAGTTCTTTTATCCCAATAAAACATTCTTCACATTCTGAACATGAAAAAGGACGCTCCCCTGTGTGAATTCTTTGGTGTTTATGAAGGCTTCCTTTCTCAGTGAAACATTTCCCGCACTCTGAACATGAATAGGGACGCTCACCCTTGTGGATTTTTTGATGTTTACGAAGGTATGTACTCCTAGTGAAGGATTTCCCACACACCGAACATGACAATGAATTTTCTCCTATGTCAGCTCCTTCTTGGCTTAAGGAAGATTCCTTGGGATTGGATGGAGATGGTGAACTCTCCATAACACGAGATCTTAGATGTGTATTTGGACTTACAGATATTTCCGAGGAATCCTGAAAATTAGAGTGATCCATTGCTCTCTACGTTTTGAGTAAAGAAATCTACTCCTGGAAAGTGTGGTGAGATGTTATTATATTTTGTATTATAATCTGGAGAGAAGATAGGATGTCCCTCGGAGATATTCCACACATAGCATCCACCTGCTGGAAAACATTTGTTGATACACGTTATAAGAACTCTACACGTCTTACCTTCAGTACACATACAGGTGAAACTCGAAAAATGAGAATATTTATTTATTTATTTCAGTAATGCAACTTAAAAGGTGAAACTAATATATGAGATAGACTCATTACATGCAAAGCAAGATAGTTCAAGCCGTGATTTGTCATAATTGTGATGATTATGGCTTACAGTTCCTGAAAACCCCAAATCCACAATCTCAGAAAATGAGAATATTACATGCAATCAATAAAAAAAGGATTGTACATAGAACAATATCGGACCTCTGAAAAGTAGAAGCATGTATATGTACTCAGTACTTGGTTTGGGCCCCTTTTGCAGCAATTACTGCCTCAATGCGGCGTGGCATGGAAGCTATCAGCCTGTGGCACTGCTGAGGTGTTATGGAAGACCAGGATGCTTCAATAGCGGCCTTCAGCTCTTCTGCATTGTTCCGTCTCATGTCTCTCATCTTGCTCTTGGCAATGCCCCATAGATTCTCTATGAGGTTCAGGTCAGGTGAGTTTGCTGGCCAATCAAGCACAGTAATTCCACGGTCATTGAACTAGGTTTTGGTGCTTTTGGCAGTGTGGGCAGGTGCCAAGTCCTGCTGGAAAATGAAGTCAGCATCCCCATAAAGCTCGTCTGCGGAAGGAAGCATGAAGTGCTCCAAAATCTCCTGGTAGACGACTGCGCTGACCCTGGACTTAATGAAGCACAGTGGACCAACACCAGCAGATGACATGGCTCCCAAAATCAAGACAGACTGTGGAAACTTCACACTGGACTTCAAGCATCTTGCAGTGTGTGCCTCTCCATTCTTCCTCCATACTCTGGGTCCTTGGTCTCCAAATGAGATGCAAAAGTTGCTCTCATCAGAAAAGAGGACTTTGGACCACTGAGCAACAGACCAGGTCTGTTTTTCTGTAGCCCAGGTAAGACACTTCTGATGTTTGTTGTTCAGGAGCGGCTTGACAAGAGGAATACGACATTTGAAGCCCATGTCCAGGATCCATCTGTGTGTGGTGGCTCTTGATGCACTGACTCCAGCCTCAGTCCACTCCTTGTGAAAGTCCCCAACACTTTTGAATGGCCTTTTCCTGACAATCCTCTCCAGGCTGCGGTCATCCCTGCTGCTTGTGCACCTTTTTCTTCCACACTTTTCCCTTCCACATAACTTTCTATTAATGTGCTTTGATACAGCACTTTGGGAACATCCAACTTCTTTTGCAATTAACCTTTGAGGCTTTCCCTCCTTATGGAGGGTGTCAATGATGGTGTCAGTCAGCAGTCTTTCCCATGATTGTGATTCCTACTGAACCAGACTGAGAGACCATTTAAAGGCTCAGGAACCCTTTGCAGGTGTTATGGCTTAATTAGCTCACTAGAGTGGGACACTTTGAGCCTAGAATATTGCACCTTGTCACAATATTCTCATTTTCTGAGATTGTGGATTTGGGGTTTTCATGAGCTGTAAGCCATAATCATCACAATTATGACAAATCACGACTTGAACTATCTTGCTTTGCATGTAAGGAGTCTATCTCATATATTAGTTTCACCTTTTAAGTTGCATTACTTAAATAAATGAACTTTTGCATGATATTCTAATTTTTTGAGTTTCACCTGTATGTGTTGACTAGTGATGAGCCAAACTGCCACATACCCTCAACATGGGGCTGTACTCTCTGCTCAAGTCACCTGACCTCAACCCAACTGAACAGGCATGTTACTTGCTTGACAAAACTGAAGGTCGTAAGATCAATGAACGTTAAAAAAAAACCTGCATCAGTGAAGGCCTGACAAAGCATCACTAGAGAGGACACTCAGCATTTAGTTATATTCCTGGGTGACAGGACACTCATTGTGTCTCACAGTGAGGGAGATATCTGGTGAACAAGGAGTGTAGAGTGAGGGAGATGTTTGGTGGACAAGGAGTGTAGGGTGAGGGAGATGTCTGGTGGACAAGGAGTGTAGGGTGAGGGAGATGTGGTGGAGGGAGATATCTGGTGTACAAGGAGTGTAGGGTGAGGGAGATATCTGGTGGACAAGGAGTGTAGGGGGAGGGAGATGTCTGGTGGACAAGGAGTGTAGGGTGAGGGAGATGTCTGGTGGAAAAGGAGTGTGAGGTAGATGTCTGGTGTACAAGGAAGGAGTGTAGGGTGAGGGAGATGTCTGGTGGACAAGGAGTGCAGGGTGAGGGAGATGTCTGGTGGACAAGGAGTGTAGGGTGAGGGAGATGTCTGGTGGACAAGGAGTGTAGGGTGAGGGAGATATCTGTACAGTGGAGATCTCGTCACGAATTTTATCAATCTTATTTTTGAAGTGATTAGCGATCTCTTGGGCAGTGAGTGAGTTAGTGGGTGGAGGTAGAGAAGGACGAAGTAGAGAGTTTAAAGGTAGAAAAGAGTTGACAGGGATTGTGTGAGAGGGTGTTAATGAGAGTGATACAATAGGTCTGTTAGGCAGTGTGGAGACAGGAATTTTACTTTTGAAGGGCAGATTTGTATTGGTCGAAGTCTTGCTGGGTCTTAGTCTTACACTATAAATACTCCAGAGCACGGCTACATTTTTTGAGGGATCTGGTATTGTCTGTTTGCCAGGGCTGTAGCAGTCAGGACCTATTTCTGTGTGTAGTAAAGGGGGCCAATGTGTCCAAGGTGGATGACAGTGAACTATTGTAGACAGAAGTGGCCAGGTCGGGGCAGGACAGGGCTGAGATTTTGTCATAGAGACAATCTTCAAAAGAAGAGAAGGGTTAAGATAGAGAAGGTTCCTACTGGTAACTGTCCGGGAGTTGGAAGACAAGGAGGAGGAAGCCAAGGAGAGAGTGAAGCTAATAAGGGAGTGATCAGAGAGAGGAAAGGAAAGTTGGTGAGGTTGCAAGGAGTGCATAGGTAGGAGAACACAAGGTTGAGGCCGTTGTCATTAGAGTAGAAGCATGTGTCCAATGTTTTAGGTCAAAAGAAGTGGTTAGGCTCAGAAGTTTAGAAGTAGCAGGAGTGTTAAGATTAACAGGAATGCTGAAGTCACCAAGAATGATTGTGGGAGTTTCAGAAGAGAGAAAGTAAGGTGGCCAGGCAGAGAAGTCACCAAGGAAGCTTGATACCGGTCCAAGAGGCCGATAGATCACACCAATTCTCAAAGAAATTGGAGAGAACAGATGAATAGAGTGAACTTCAGATGAGGAGAGGAACAGAGAGGGATGTGAATGAAGGACCTGAAAAGTGCTTTGAGGGGATAGGAAGATTCCAACTCCACCTCCTTTCCGTCCACTAGGCCTTGGAGAGTGAGCCGAGAGGAGACCACCATGGGAGAGGGCAGCAGGAGAGGGAAAGTCAGATTCATGGAGCCAGGTTTCCGAAGTCAACAAGCTTGATACTAGACCGATAGATCACAGCAATTTTCAAAGAAACTGGAGAGAATAGATGAATAGAGTGAACTTCAAATGAGGAGAGGGACAGAGAGGAAGGTGAATGAAGGACCTGAAAAGTGCTTTGAGGGGATAGGAGGATTCCAACTCCACCTTCTTTCCATCCACTAGGCCTGGGAGTGTGAGTCCAGAGGAGACCACCATGGGAGAGGGCAGCAGGAAATCGAAAGTCAGATCATGAAGCCAGGCAGAGAAGTCATCAAGAAAGCTTGATGCCGGTCCAGGAGGCCAATAGAGCACACCAATTCTCAAAGAAACTGGAGAGAATAGATGAATAGAGTGAACTTCAAATGAGGAGGAACAGATTCATGAAGCCAGGTAGAGAAGTCATCAAGGAAGCTTGATACCGGTTCAGGAGACCGATAGATCACACCAATTCTCAAAGAAACTGGAGAGAACAGACGAATAGAGTGAACTTCAAATATAGAGAGGGATAGAGAGTGAACTTCAAATGAGGAGGAACAGAGGGAGCTGAATGAAGGACCTGAAAAGTGCTTTGAGGGGATAAGGGGATTCCAACATCACCTTCTTTCTGTCCACTAGGCCTGGGAGAGTGAGTCCAGAGGACACCACCATGGGAAAGGGCAGCAGGAGGTCGAAAGTCAGATTCATGAAGCCAGGCAGAGAAGTCATCAAGGAAGCTTGATACTGGTTCAGGAGACTGACAGATCACACCAATTCTCAAAGAATCTGGAAAGAATAGATGAATAGAGTGAACTTCAAATGAGGAGGAACAGAGAGGGAGAAGAATGAAGGTCCTGAAAAGTGCTTTGAGAGGATAGGGGGATTCCAACTCCACCTCTTTTCTGTCCACTAGGCCTGGGAGAGTGAGTCCAGAGGAGACCACCATGGGAGCGGGCAGCAGGAGATCGAAAGTCAGATTCATAAAGCCAGGCAGAGAAGTCATCAAGAAAGCTTGATGCCGGTCCAGGAGGCCAATAGTTCACACCAATTCTCAAAGAAACTGAGAGAGAATAGATGAATAGAGTGAACTTCAAATGAGGA